CACACAAGCTAACACGAAGGAAAATAAGGGTATGTAACCCTGTAACACTGCGTGGTGGTAGCAGCAGGAAAGGAGAGGCTGCAGTAGGACTTGTTGCTTGTGCCCAGGCCTGCTGTGCAGCTGGATTCAGACCCACAGCATCATCACTTTTCTGGTCTCAGCCTCCCAGTCCCACAGGCAGCCCCTCACAACAACCTGCCAGACCTTTGCTATCCAAACTTTTTTCCCTTGAACAGCCTGATAAGGGGCCAACCTGTGCAGTAGCTTCTTACCAGGCCCGGGAGGGAGAATACAATGAGCCTATAAAGCCGATTGCACTTGTTCCCCAAGGCAGCCTTTGCACTCTGCATGGAAAGGCTAGAATGCCCCTTCCACTTAGCAGAACAAAGGACAGCCAACCTGCCGGGTTTTAAACCTGAAAGTTAAACACGAATGTGATTAATGTGCAGCTTTGAATTTTGTGTATTATTGAATTGTGTACATTACTCCAGGCTTAGAGTCTTTTTTCCCCTTTTATACTGCAACACAAATGTATGTTCCGTTTGGGAGGGGTGCAGAGAAGAGAACACCAGGCAAAAGTATTTCCATATGTACTTCCCACATTCTCTGCCTGAAGGACTTGAGCGAGCTGGGATTTATACTGTGTTCCACTGACCCTGAAAAAAACAACTTAAAACAGATTTAGAGAAGATTCGCTGGAGCTCACTGCAATTGAAATGCTGGATAGTTATATGACAGCCTCCAGGAATCCTTCCAGATTCTCCCTTTCCTATGAATCTGCTAAAGCTCCAGAAGATTATCAGAGTTAAGCTAATGTGCAGGATGCTGGGTTGGAGGCGATGGTTTGCCCCTGGTAAGAGTCATATAAATGATCATCTCTTGTAACCAGTGCTCTGACTTAAAGACTGAGTCCTTGATCCCATTTCAGTCATAATCCTCGATAGGAGACAGAAAGCTGGACCGCATCACTCCTGTGTGATCTTCCTGGCTTCAGTGGGATGCTGCATGAGCAGAAGAGCATCCTGCATTTTACTACTGGGGAAATATTCAACTTATTTTTAGAAATGGTTAATTAACACCATTTGTGACATCCGAGGGACAAATACTTTCTCATTCTCTCAAAGGCTTAGGCTGTCTTATGATTTACGACAGCATAAAACAAAATTAACAAAGGTGCTGAGAAATACTTGACATTTTTATTTAGGGAATATGTTCTTCTTTTCCATCATCATAATGTCCAGTCTGAGCTGGCCTTTCATGAGATGCCTCTCACTGGGCTGAGCAGTGAGAATCTGGAAAAAGTGAGAGATGATACAAAGATTTCTCTATATCTGAAGCTCAGATCTAGACAGCTTCTCAGTTTTGCACACAAAACAGCATCTGGAACTTCATTTGCTTGTGGAACTGAGCAGAGCTATTGCAAAAGGAGAGCTCTGCCTCCAGAAAGTTTCTGGCTCAGGAAGATGACTTGATCTTTGTTCTGAACAGGAATATGACCTCCATTACATCGGGACACTTCTGAATCTGCGTCTCCTGTGCTTTAACCATTATTAACCCTATGATTTAAGGACATACATATGGTTTTATTCTAACAGCACTAATGTCTTTCTTGGCTTGACAAAGATTGTTATAGAGTAATTTTTCTTTAGTTTTTTTGCTTCTCAATCAAAATATCTAGATACTGCATGTGGTACTATAAAGGGAACTCTGAGACCTGTTATATGTCCAGTACTAAATTGGCTAGAATCTTAAATCTTAAGAATCTTAAAATATTTATATGAATACTGACCAGTTAGAAGATCATATCATTGATTCATGGCCTGAGATCAGTCCTGCAACATCATCCTCAGCCTGAAATCTGGCAAATGTTGTGTGCTCACAATGAGCTTAAGGAATCCAACTGAAGTTCTGATCCCTTAAATGCGAAGACTAAACCCACTGCTTATCCAGCTCACCTTGGTGCAAAGCAGATGCAAGCCAGACAAAGCATAACAAACACTTCTGTCAAACAAGTGAAAACGCACAGCACGGTGCTTTATCCTGACTATACAATTTATGCTTGGGCTAGGAGTACGAATGAGCTTTGAGCAAGGGACTGGGTTGAATGATCCCAAAATTCTGATCCTAAATCTAGCTGTAACTTAAAATGCTGCAGACACATTATGACTTGCCATGCCTGAAATCTGCCAGCAAGAAGTTACTCCTCCAAATTAAAAAAAATGCTGAAATATTGACCCTGTTGAGAAAAGAGTGTAATATGGGACCTGTTCAGTGCTTTGCTCTGTTTGGCTATGACAGCACTGCTCTGGTACCAGGTGCTCCAAATCGTCGCCTGACAAAGCAGCTTTCTGGGGAATTCTTAATTCTACCACATATCAACATAGCAGTCAAACATAGCAGAAATCTAAAACACACTTTGGTCCAGCCTCCTAGAATAAAAAAAAAAAAAAAGCTCCAATGCTTGTGACCCTCCTAAGACCAAAGAAATGCCCATTTGCTGGGGACAACAGGATCACTACTTCTATTGCCTGCTACTGAGAAGGCCTGACCTGTTCTTGAACTCATTCCAGAGATATTTCAATAAATCTGCAGTTTCCCTGTAAGCCCAGAAGTCTTTGGTTTGGGCATCCCTGTCTAGCATGGACTAAACCTCTCCCAATCTTCTTTTGGCATAGCCAGCCCTCCCCCTGCCTCTTAATTAAACATAACAGGAAAAAGAACAGAAATCCTGACAGGACTGACCGAGTGGCCTCCTTTCTGTGTGCTCCTGTGGCTCCACTCTTGGAGGCTGACCCAGGGCACAGCTCTGCCCTTCCACATGTATTTTCCAGTGGAAGCATTTTTTCCCCTCACATAGATTTATTCAGACTCCAAACTTCATATTCATCAAAACTGTCATGGAACATTTGCAAGATGGGAAGACATTGTGGGTCCAATCAGCATAGGTGTCACAAACAATTAGCTACTGCAGAATGATCCCAATTAGTAAACACCCTGCTAACAGGCTACCTCCCCAAGGATGCTGATTGCCTGTGACAGTGCTTTTTTCAGGACCTCTACTGGAAAACTACAACTCAGGCCTCTGTGGACCAGCTTCTGACAAATATCTCGTTAACACTACAAAAGAATATACACATGAATAATTAAAAATAGATGGGAGTAGAAATGCAGGCTACATTTAGCTTTGTCACCCAAGCCTTTATAACAAGACCTACTTCTCATCTGGATTAAAAAGGACATTCTGCTCTCTGTCTTGGCTTGTACAAGCCACTCACGTTTTGATGCTTTGCTCTAGGCCTTTGGAACTAAATAAAGACTTCAATATAAACTTCCCCTTACACTTTCTCCTTTATTCTCTCCTTTTCTGTTCTGTTAAAGAGTTGCCTGAAGGACCAAGCTCAGTCAGTATCTGAAACCTAGCTACTTACTGCTTGTTTAAGGCATGTTGCCTTTTCTACTGTGTGCCACTATGTAGAAGAACAGCCTTTAACAATTACAGAGCTATTTTTATGGATGGAATTATATGCAGGCAGAAAACTAAGCTTTTCTGTTGTTAAGTAACTTTCTGACCATCCAGTTCTCTCCTGAAATGGACTGGAGAGCAATCAGTCACTCCTCTTCACCCTGATTTACTACCAAATCAAGAGATAGCAAGCCCAGAGCTGGTGTAACCCAGGAACAATGTCAGTGAGGCAGTGGAGCGGCACAGAGACTGAAAAGAGGAAGAACAGAATTCTGCTTCCCACCATCATGCTGCAGTATAAAATTATGCTATGAACCAACTGCTTGGATTAAGAGATTTCCACCAAGAAGTTTTCACACTGAAATAACCTCCTATTGGTGCTACAGCCAATAAAGCGATGGTTACAGTCTGATCAACCTTGTCCACCTTTTGACTAACCTTCATTTTGAATGCTCTAATTCTCAAGTCACATTCACACTGCTATCAGTAGATACTCCAGTACACCATGCTGCTAAATGCCACCATGAGAAAATGTAAAAAGCCATACCTTGAGCAAAATACATCAAAGAGTAGCAGTAAGTCGCAATTTCCTCAGTACTGGTTGCTGAGATGGGCACAGTCAGCATTTAGCACAAACTATGTGGATATCAGATGGGAAATCCCTCAGAAGCAGCAAGCCAAGCTTATGGATGCAGGACTGTTTCAGGTTTAGCCCTTGCATTCTCACAATGCTGACTGTGTTTTCCAGTGCTGGAGGTGGAAGCTCACCCAGAGTGGGTGGAAATGATGAACAAAGTACTCCTATTCTCCAACCAGGTGGTCAGAGCTTTACTGGATGCAAGTTGGACAGAGAAATACACAGCTGAGCCATGTACACTCCTTCCTGAACTGAACACTATGCGAATGATCTGCATGCATGGAAGTCTCCAGGAATAGAAGCTTAGTACAGGCTACGTGTTAATGGCAAAGTCATCATATTTGGACTCCTTGAATCACGAGTGATCAGCTTTCTGAAGGAAAACCTTGTACTGAACCACAATTGGTTGGCCTATACACTATTCACATCTATTACAGGACAGAGTAATCCTCCTTCTGTGGGAATATTGGGCAAAATCTCATGACCTGCTTGCAGTGAAACCTTAGCCACATTCCACAGAGTCCAATTATACAGAAGTAGAAAGACTGATGTGGTCACCAAGACTGCCTTCCAGCCAGCAGTCTCTCTCTCAAGCAATGGGTTTAGTGCCATACTCCATTCCCCTACAAGTATATCAGCTCCCCCACACTGCCCAGCAACCCTCTGTACCTGTGTGATTTTGGCAGGCTCCTACGCAGCCCTCCAATGGCCTGAGGTAAGCAGACTTTCTTCTTTAAATGAATCTACTTCTCCCTACATATTTACTTATCTCTCTTACTTTCAACTCTCATTTCAACCCAATTGATGAGTAGATACTCCACAATATATTCTACCCCAATACATCCTCAGTAGGAATAAACTAGCAGGCATTATGGATGCTACTAGAGCTTTGCCACTTACCCCAGTTACAGTCTGGCCCAATACCATGACTTCAGTTGTTGGCCTGTGGAATGCACCTGACTATGCAAACCCAAACTATGCACAGTTTGCTTTGTTGTCTGTATGATCAATGAATACTAAGACGTTATAATTATGAAATAAACAAGAGAGTTAAGCAAAACAGGTTATAATAACACAAAGAGAATAGATTGGACACTTAGCCATATCCTGGGCTCACTTATGAAACTCCAGCAGAGTGGATCTCCAGAAGAGATCCTTCCCTATTGGTAGTCAGCTCTTAAATGAGTCTAGCAGAGGTGCAGCCAGGCTCTACCCCTTCCAGCAGCACAGGTGAATTGCCTTCACCTGTGCTCCCATAGCTGACTCATTGCTCACCTCAGGTGATCAATCAGAGGTTCAGATGGTGATTCAGCAGTTCCCATACACTGTCTCTCACAATAAGGCTTCCAGGATTCCTCCTTCCTAAAAAATTTTGCTTTCAGATAGTTTTTCCATGTAGAAAAAAAAATCCTAAGTGACTTTCATTATTTTTACCCATATGAAGTTACCAAGCTTTCTAGTTTCTACCATATTTCATAAGCAGGTACTCATTAAGTTCTGTGAAATTACTGCATCTAAAAAATTCTCTTTTCTTCTCTGATAACGCACAGAAGGAGCCCTGAGTAAAGAATGTAACACCAATAACTGGTATAAAATCTGTGTGATCAGAGCCAGACATCACTTGTCATCTCTACTAATCCACATGGCTGAGTTCCTATCCAAGACAAACCAAACAATTTCAGAGGGAGTGCAACATCTTATAAGGCCCAGTATCAAACGCTTTACTAGGCTCAAACTACAATATATCTCATAAAATCCCTTTGTCCAATAATTTTGCCTTTGCATGATCAAGAATGAAATTACCTAACTACTTTCCTTCCAGATTTTCCCCCAAGGACAATACCCTGTGGTTTGGAGCAATTTGAGTCTCAGTCCAATAATTTGTTCCCTTCTCTCTCATCCTGGTGGTCCATACTAAATCATAACTTTCTCCTTTGCTTTGTTATTCCTTTCTTCCTAATCCACCACTGTCCAGCACCCAGAGCTTTACCTTTTTTTTTTTTTCTTTTTCTTCATCTTTAGACTACAGAGTCATCAGGACAAAATGTGAGCAAAGATGTGCAATCTGCCATTTCACTTACACAAATGTTAATGGTGGCACTGCTTTTCTGCCAGGAGCTTTGCTATCCAACTCCCTCTTTCCAAAGGAGGTTAAAAAGACTGCGAATGGCTGTCTTGGTTGAAGAGACTGTTTAGGCCTCTGTAAAACTCCAAGGGATACAGACACTTGTGAATTTGGATGGAAAAGCAGGCTGGCTTTCTCTCACAGGAAGAGCTTAGCACACCACACTGAAGACAGAAAATCTGGCCCTATTTTAAAGAGGGACATTGTTCTATTTCTAGCTGGGACATTGTGTAATTCCCAATTGAAGTAAAAGGATTTTGCCCTCAGATATCCAAGAGCAGAAACAGGGAACCATAGAGCCAGTCTTTGTGCCAGCTAAAGCTAATGGAACGGCCACCCTCCAGCTGTCCTTCCAGCCACAGAAAGATTTATGACCCAAAATCTGAACAGGAACCATCATTGTAACCACTACTGATGCCAGGAGGCATTCATTCCCTGCCTTATCCATCCTGCTTGGCTCATGGATCCCAGTGGTCCTCCTCAAAACAGCCGTGCAATTTGTGTGACAGCACTTGGCTACTGAGGATGCCATGAATTTTCTGCGTTCCCTACTGTGCATACTCACCAAGGAAGTCCAGATTTACCTACAGTAATATCTGCTGCCTGTTCCCACAGAGAGAAATGTTTATTTTATAAGCCCTGATCTCAAACCCATCTCAAACAGCCTGCCTCTGCACCAGAACCAAGCACTGACCCAGCCTGCTGCCCAACAAGCACATACAAATTCAGCCAACTCCAGAAGTGCAGGAACAGCCCAGCCTGCCATGATCTAGCTGGCTGCTTCGTATTGGTAGATTGCAGGCAGAGAAAGCCTGGCCTATAAATCTGACTTGAGAGATGATGAGAGATGAGGGAATTGCACCCTTAGAAGGACAGCAGGTTCTAATTGCCTTCACTACTGAAGATCTGATATATGCTTCCAGGGACAACAGCTTTGCAAAGACTCACTCAGAGTCAGCCAGCAAGTCATTGGGCTTTTTCTGCAGCAGTTCCCCAGCCAAATGATCCTGAGGCCTTTAGGACACTCTGGTGATGGCTCACAGTCTCAGTTTTGTCAGCCCAACCAGGACACCAGCATTGGAGTTTCAGGCAGCTTGATGAGCCTGTACCAGTACAGCTAATTGAACTACCAGCATGGTTCAAACCAGCTTGTACAGGACCAGCATGCTCTGCCATGTGGCTGCAGCATTTTGGATCCAGCACCAACAGCCCTAAAGACAGATTTATGGTATCATTGGGGTGACGACTTTTCTTGAACTGCTTTGGCTGAAGCCTTGATTTAAGTTAATGCATAATTCATAATGGGACTGATAACAGATGGCAACTTGTTAAGCCACAGGAACTCAATCATTTCTGATCACATGACAAAACCCTAAATAATTCAAATCATATCTTACTGCAGGAGCCGATCTGCTGAGGCCCACTGGGACAGAGAGACTCCATTGCCACGCTGCAGGAGTCACCTCACAAGGCAGTTGTCACCAAGGCCCCCCAGTCTGCAAACAGACAAACCGAGGCACAAGGAGCTGTGCTCCCACATCTTGCACCTTGAGAGCAGATCTCTGGTATCCTCCTGCTCCTCTGCACCAGATCCCAACCACAAGGCCCTGCCCTCTCCTTCTGTCGGCACTGTGCATGTTTACAGAGATACTTGCAATTGTATCTCGGACAAAAAGCATTTCTTGCAAAATGAGCAGAGGGTTGCCTGTGCCCCACAGTTTCAGCACCTTCTATAATGCTAACCATAAGCATCATCAGCACAGCCTCCCACTTCCCAGCACATTGCAAGGGAGTGCTGCCTACATGCTTCCACCCTGAAGCACCATTCAACTGCCAGGCCACTTTTACTCCTCACTTCTCAAATCCTCCTCCTCTTTTTTAAACACTTCAAGTACAAAAGAGCTCATGAGCTCAAGAGTTCATGACCAGCTAAATTATCCCACTGTCACTGTTATGGGCACTTCATCTCCTAATAGAAAAGAAAGTGTGTTCATGTCACAGAGATGTTTGTTAGGACACACAGACTTCTTCCACGTGCTAGTCTCCCCCAAAGCCCAAGTATGAGCTTATGTCTGATGTATTATTAACACTTTGTGAAGTTATTTCCATCATTACACAAAAGAAAGCCCTCTGTGTACAAAATGTACATGATCCTCAGCTGGACTAAACTCTACGAGCTCAAGGCACTGAAAGACATGTTGGTAGATGATAACATCCCTGCCTAATCTTCAGGTAATGCTGCAAATCAGAATGCACCTTATACCATGGAGGATCCAGAAAGAAAATCATCCCAAAGCTCCTCAGACACAAAGCAACTTCATGTTCAGAACAAGACTCCACAAAATATCTCTGTGCTGCCTGGAGCAGGGTCAAATTCTTCGTCACTTTGCAAAGTGATTCCAAAAGTCTAAAGATACTGAGGCCAGGGACAGCCAGTACCAAAGCATGAAGCGTGAACTGTGGTTTTAACCACAGAGAATCAGTCAAGATTGATTTTGTACATCTGAACTTGGATCTAAAGAAGCCCTCTCTTTGTAAGAAGCAAAAACTCCAGAACATAAAATGCCCAGACAATGTTCACAGAAGGCATCTCCTGCACTCCATAATCCCCAAGGGATGGTCCTTGTTACACACAAGTTATTCCACTTGCCTTTCCCACAAGGAAATCTGCAGGGACACAACGCTCGTAAGCCCACCTATTCAGGCTCCTTAAGGAATGTTTCTTTCCATCTAAGAAAGAAACCTGAATAGTTTGTTGGTTTTTTTTTTAAATTTCAAGCAAAAATGATGTGTCTTTATTATTACACAAAGTACTGGAGGATTAACTTCAAAAGCCATGAACTTACATTTTACACTTATTACAGGAAATAGAGACAGGACATTTCTTACCATGGGGAACTGGAGCAGACTGAATCAGACTGAACTTAATCTCCCAAACAGGCCTAAACCCAAATCTCTACCCTGAGTGCTCCCAAACTTCAGGGCAGGTTCCATCTGGTTTATGTCCCCTGTCCAAAGCATGCCAAGTGCTGCAACTCCATGCAGGCCCTTGACACACTCCCAGAAAATTGGTGTATTGGCTACCTGTCCCTGGGGAAGAGAAACAGAATGAAAGGCAAGATATTGCAGCTCAGTGACCACATATGATAAAACTGCCCAAGGAAAATGAACAATCGGCGTTGCAGGGAACAGTTCTAAAAAAAAACAGTGCCAGAGCAAGGAGTGCCAAGGACAAGGAACTTAATGGAGGATGGTGGAGGGAGGGAGGCTGGGGTATCAAGCTGAGACAGAACAGAGAAAGCCAACTGCCAGCCCAAGGAAGCAGTTATAGGCTATCCAACAGTGTCTCCTGGTGGCTGCAGCCCCAGCCTGCATACGGTTAGGCATCCCTCCCTCCCAGGCAGCCTGGATCCACATAAAATGCATGTCTCTCTATCTTCTAATTACAGAGTGACTAATATAAGTGGATAAATAATAGTTGCTAAGCCATCTTGCCTGTAGCTATAAGGTCAGGGTATGGTTTTGGTCAAGTTGAAGCGTGAGAACTGCAGGACAAATTGTTGACATGCACTCACATGCTCCCACTCAGACTTCCCTGTGGTACCTGCAGGCCTGCACGGGCTGCTCACTCTCATACCACCTTACTCAGCAAGGAGCCACCTCCACAAGTAAATGGATTTCATGCAGCTGGCCAGCAGTGATCTAAAGCTGTCTTCAAAACCTGGCTTGTTGCACTGGAAAAATATAAAATCTTTTGACTGTTTTTCCAGCTTTCCCTTTTTATTTTAGTTCTAAGGAAAATTCTGGTTCAAAGGCTCTACCTCAGAAAAGTGTAAATCACTATAAAAATACCAAGTGGAGATTTGGAGTGAGGTCAGGCTTGGAGAACACCTTTTCCTTGAGTTAGCAAGACAGTACCAGCACAGAGCAGTTTACTGCCAGCAGCAAGGTTACAAGGCCATGGAAAGCAGCGAGTCTGGGCACTAGGTCAGAAACTTTCCACTT